GTTAAAACCGCCGTTTTGTCGCTATATTTCAGTGAAGCGTCGCGGGCCGGATCTGGCCCGAATTCATAGGTTGCCGACCCCTGGGCTACGCAAACTACCTTACGGCGAGAGGAGTCCCGCAATTCTCTTGGGTGTGATTATTGTCCACGGAATCAAACCTGCGAACGCACGCAGAGTACAGTAATCAAGTGCACAACGCGTCAACCGCCGAACAAATACACGTTTCGCAAAATCGCCCCCCTTGGCTTTTCCGCTCCCCTCTGCATCGTTTTCTCCCACCGGGGGCGATATTGCCCACTTTGGAAATCACTGGTCTAGAAGACTCTATTTGTAGTATACGAAAATTAATTTTAGCTTAAAATAGTTTATTCAGTAGACCTTATTCATTAAAAACCCATCCTACGCGCAAAGAGAAAAGTGATGTAAACTTAACAATTTTTCAACAAAAAATATTCTATCCTCAAAACTGCTCACATACACAATAAAAGATATCTAGAAAATTACAAAAATTGCAGTCTGGTCGAAACTGGTGTTGTGGCCTGATACCGGTACTGGCTTGTTCATGTTTTAACCTGTGGTGCAGTGTAAGCTAAGCAATCGCCGTTTCCCGCTCGTCGTTGTAGTAGTTAGCAAGATAATAATTCTAAAAGCATAAAGGTAAATGAAAAGATGTAAAGATGATGATATTAAGGCAGCATGACAGAATCGAAATTTAATGACTCAGGTTCATGAAGAAGAGTAACTAAAATTCAACTAACAGCAGATGTATGTTTTAGCGGTACTAGCGGTAGCGGTTTTCCACTGTAAGTTTTTAGCGGTACTGCAAAATCTACTTATATATTGAATGACAATTCAAACAATCTCCTTGGTATTATATATATATGCATATACAATTTGTTTTGTCACATAATATTAACTAATATTAATTAATAATTAAATTATGTCAATTCGCAACATTTTAAACATTTGCTTAATTGCGTATTATTGGACACATGAGTGAACCTATGGATCGTGTTTGGACACGTTAGTGGACCTATGGATCATTTTAATATTATGCTGTTGTTGTTCTTGTTCTTTGACACGTTATGAAAAAGTCGCATTTGTTTTTGATTACTGGACCAATTGCTTTGAAATTCTCAGTGATTAAAGATGGACTTTTTTTAGTAATATTATATTGTTATTATTTGTTATTTCTCATTATTATCATTACAAAATAGCTTTTCTCTTCGAATACTGAACCAATTGCTTTGAAATTTTCTGTGGTTAAAGATTGATTTTTTTGCTAGAAGGCTATTACTTTTATTTATTCCTAAATTTTCTATGAATCTAGTGAGATCTAATATTTCATCCAAAATTGCGCTGTCTTATTTTTGGAAGTTTTTTGAGGGTACCGGTAACGGAAAAGGACAGGCTGCTTAGTTCTGCTCTACGTGCCCATATATTTGAGCATTGCTTTCTTGCTGTTGTTTTTTTGTTTTGTGTGCGTATCGTTTCCAGAATACCGGTAATGGCCTCATCAATTACAGACCTGTTAACGCGTGATTAGTGTGTTTCCTGATACTTGCTTTTATGAGTGCACAGAATTTACCAGTATAGCGTTGATTTAAGTTCGAGTTTTTGGTCTTTCCGCCAAATCAGTGTAGTTCTTCATGGCTTTTTACTATTCTCGTTAGTCGTTACTTTAACACATTGCATTTGTATTAGATTGAATAGAACATTATCTGCTCAAGTATTTAAAAAGTAGCCTACAGCAGCCTTAACGTTCAATATATTCGCATATTTTTATGTGCCTATTTCTTTGAAAATCCTTGTTTAGTTAACAAAGTTTGCATTTTTTGTGAGCGTGTAAGGCAAATGATATTTCTCATATTTTAAACTTTTTGAAAGGTTATGCTCGCTCTATAAAATTTTTTTTTTTTTTAATATGACAGTGCAGCAGGAACTGATAATATCGCATTTCATTCAACGCACACCTAACTCAACCGACTCATGTGAATGGATCAAGCTACTGGGAATTGGACCGGTCCCGCCATCTAGGCCACCGGAAGAAAAACAGCTCAGTCTAATGCCGTCATTCTATCTCAACACCACCGCCGCAACGCACCATCACATCACGTTGAGAAAAAATTTAGCAGAATATTTATACTTTGGATCAGGAGTCACCAACCTGTTCGAAGCCGAGGGCTACTTTCTGGGTACCGATTAAGCCGAAGGCTACCAGTTCAATGCACACTTTTGAAAAAGTCAAGTTGCTCGATTACTTTTCAATTATTGATAAATACTGGTATTTAGCCAAGTAAAAACACCGATACACTTTAGGATTCTTCAGGAAATGAAACGAGTATCACAACGTAACAAATAAATTACTAGCAATGACACTTCCATTTTCAAACTGAGTGTTTTTCAAATTGATTTTAAAGTGATAACTACAATAATATTCACGGAGACCACAGGGCCACAATGTACCTACTTTTTTACAGACAGGCTGCATAACTGCATAAGATGAAAAGAACTTAACAGTTGTACTGCCGAATGTTACATTTACAAATATATTTAATTAATTATGAATATCTTGTTTTCAACAAGAAGGAAACCAATATCGAACAAATCTGGTCTAATGCTCTCAACTAGTATGTTGTACTCCGCGTGTGACTTGACACTGTAACTCTGAGCAGGTATTGCAGATTTTCATCAGTAAGGCGTAATCCGTGCTTAGTTCCTTGTGAAGTTCATGTCAAAAAAGGTTGATTCACAAAGACAGCTTGAACCAAACACTGATCGCGTTTGGTTTGGTTTAAAAGGCGAACTTTTTTTGCCCGTACTGCCTTGACCAATGGATAGTGACAAGATGTGAAATGTCTCTTCGCTTTGTCGTCGCTATAACAGCCTGCAAATGATACATACGCCAGCAGTTTTCACGGTGAGAAAAGGAAATCATCCTCCCATTCATCGTGGAAATGGTAGGTTTTCTCTCGTTTTTCTGCCATTTTTCTTTAAAATCAATAGTTGTATTATTGGCATTGCTGTTCCACAAATCCACGGACACGAAAAAACGCGGGTTCGTGGAAGGTGACATGTGTGTGATTTCATAATTGGGATAGTATTAATGGACCCGTCACATTACTGAGGTCAAACAAAAGTTATTACTATAATAATTACCACAGTGTTATTCCCAGTTCGCAAATAAAACATAAGTGTGATTTATACAAGAATAACATGACAAAAATATATTGATGTAGCTTACTTATGAGCGCCTTTTATTAAGCTTATTTTGGAGCAGACCTGCGGGCGACTAATGTGGTCTTCACGGGCGACATGGTCCTCGCGGGCAACGGGTTGGTGACCCCTGCTTTGGATTAAGATTCCACGCGCAATTATTGCCCTATTTTGCCTACAACTACCAGGTAAAGTAACGTTATCATATTATTCACCTCATTTCTAGTTATTTGCGTCAAACAGAAAACTATTGTTCTTCACTAAACCTCAGGCTCCGTATGTCTTTGGGAGACTGCCAGTCAAAACAGTACGAACAGTAGTGACACTTCGTAAAATGAATAAAAGTTCAAACCCACAATTCATTGAGTCATGTTTGTACATAGGAAATGCATTGCCAAACTTACTGTAATTTATTCTGTATATACAATATTAGTATTAGATACCTAAACATATTGTTGAGCAATATAATGAACGAATATATATATAAATTTACTGCTGATCAAAAATAAAATATTCAATTAAATTGAAAATTTTATCAATTTTTTCTATAAATTTGGGCGGAAATTCCCTACTTTTCGCACGATGGAATTTTTTTAAACTTCAATATGTTTTTTATATATGGCTATCAAAAATATTCTGTTGACGAATCGAATGAAAAAATATTATTTCCTGCTTAAATTACGCATCGAATTGAGTTAACGATTTTGATGATATTTTTGATAATTTAGAAGAAAATTTCCTACTTTCCGCGCGGTGGAATTTATTTCAAATTTCATTCTAGTTTTATAGATGAAATTGTGTGGTCATTCAAGATTATTGGAAAACAACTTTGTCAAATCTTGTTTCTCTGTCATTCATATTCCACGTCTCCTATATTTGGAATACCACATATACAGCACAGGGAGGTTCTACAATCGACACGACCGTGCTCATAGTTAAACTTTTGCAATACCATTTAAAAACTGTTTTCATTTGATGTAATTTACTTTAAAACAAAATAATCGAAAAGCTTGTGCACATCGCAGGCTTCCTGATTGCAGTATACAGTAATAATAATTCCACATACAAACGCACCAATATTTATACATCTGTATATGAGAGACATATATTTTTCCGAGTCTGTTCATGATAAAAGTTTACCAAACGAGTTTTTCATTTATTTTATTGAAACATTGCCAGTTTGACAAACTCAAAAAAATATTAGCAGAGTTTAACAAAGTGCGAATATTCAGCAGTTTTGCAGAATGGTAAACATTCTTCAAAGTCAAACTTTCCTTTTTTAGTAAAAACATACATACAAAATATACAAGCTTAAGAAAGACGAATTGCTCATCACCGAGTCAACCACATCCTAAAATAATCAATAGGCAGAACAAAAACGTCAAGTAAAAATTCAGCAAACAATAGAATTAAACATCACGTTGTCTCGCTTGAAGCATTTGCAAGACTTAGTGGATAAAAATTTCTAGCGTCAACTAGCGGGGTGTTGTAAATCACAGAGAGACACATCACGTACCAGGGGGAAAACGAAAAAACGACTTTTCAAATAAAATTCTGATAGCAAACTTCTCAAATAGGGCTTTCCAAGTTTTATTGCTGAGATAAAGATGTCTGTCAATAGAGATGTCTGCGGCATAACATACAGTGCTGATTACACTCTGGATGAGAAAGTGAATGAAGACTGATGGTTGCACTGATCTGACTGTAATATGTAGGTTTGAAACCATCGACACCAACATGACTGGCTGCTTCAACATCAACGACATTGTATGTAACAAGTTTAACAATTGTTTTATCAAAAAAAAATATAGATTTTTTGATATTTTGTAATATGCAAAGTGCTAATGCTTAGCTGAAATTTATCAGGCGTTGTAAGTTTCGTAAGCTGACTCCACTTGTGTTTGCTTAGTTTTCGCAGGAAGAGCTTGTTCGTACCCGGCAGTTTCTTGCAAGACATTTGATGATGATGGTTGTTCGTAAGCTGACTCCACTTGTGTTTGATTAGTTGTCGCAGAAAGAACTTGTTCGTAACCGACAGTTTCTTGCAGCACATTTGAATATGATGGTTGTGATGCTGGGTTGTTTGTAGGAGTTTCTGATTAATTGGAAGAATGTAATTAGCAACCACAGAAGAATTAAAAATCGATTTAAACTATTGATCTATATAAAAATCACATCTATGTAATCCTGTGATACCCTTGAGGAATAATACTTTCTTGATTAAAATATCTTGATTCTTATATTATCACCCCATAGAGTAAGTATGTTCAAAGAACAATTTTTTTCATTTTTTCGGCAATCTGATGGGCGTTACGTCTGGAGGGCGTTAATTTCATTTTTTATGGCAAATGTTTCCGGTGCTATTCCAGATTTATATAACCTCGAGTTATACAAATTATATTAGTACATTAATTGCTTGATAAACGTTTTCTATCCCTTAAACATAGATTGCAAGTATATATCATTGAAGTGAAGTTACAATTTTAATTGTGGCCGTATTCTGTAGTATATACCCTTTGAATGACAGAAAAATTGAACACACGATGATAAACGTAATTATTTGCAATATAGAATGCTCGTAAAACTGTTAGATTCGTATGGGAATAACATTTTCTACATCAGTTCTGCATTAATTCTCGTTACCTTTTTCTTTAACAGTTTCGTAATTGTGTTCTTTCACTTCTGCCTTTTCCTCCAAATTCTTTATTTTCTTCTTCAATTTGTATATAATCCAGGCAGCGACGACCAAGAAGACGAAAGGAATAAGAAAACCAATCACAAAACTGACGATGTTAAATTCGAACGATCCTTTCTCTAAAAAAAATACGATACTCTGATTTCCTGTTATTATTCAAAAGTTATGAAATTAATTAAATTTAATAAAAATCACGATTGTAAAACGTGAGCATCTTTAGAATTATAAAGATCGTATAATACGTTCACGATAAACGAACTCTTTATCTTTGAAAACATTTTGTGTAATGATTTTTTTAGAATTCCTAGAAAAGTTTTCTTTGTTGTTTAAAGTTTGCTAATTTGTTCATGAATCTGGCTTTGAGTGAATCAAATATAGATATTTACTATTTGTACCCGATGTTTCTTGATTAACTTGTTCCAACGTAATTGGAGGGCTCCGTTTGAACTGTATTTGGTCACCAGAGGGCGTGGAATGAACTATCGAAACACTAAAGCAAAATATGTTATATTTTGAATTGAACAATTAAAATAGGTTTTATTCAACCAAAGAAATGAAGCAGATATAAAAATTTGATTTGGTAAGAGTACGAAATAAGTAAATATATCTAATTTGACGTTAAAATATATCTTTACTGTCTATCTGTTTTGAAATAACATTTTAATAATACCAAGACTTTCAATTAGAAGTATTTGATAATCTACAAATGCATAAGATATATAAAGAATACCTGAACATATTTTTATCTAATTTTTATTTCTTCCCGTAAAGAAAATTTCTTTTTTAGAAGATTGTTCTTTTTGTATCCCCGTCTTTCCAGTATTCATTACGTCACATGTTGTCATTGATTCTTCACCGAGTGTAATATTCATTCGCTTACCGTTCAAGCTAAAATATTCAATGGGGTATTAGAATATTGTCTGTTGTACAGGAATATCGCTGCTACTCGAGACACTAAAAGCATTACGTTGCAACAATGCATATACGTATTGAAACTCCTATTATATCAGCAAAATCATATCATATTCGAAATATTGAAATATTTTCTTGCATGTGATGTGTATACCTGTATTACAGCAAAAACTATTGAAGCAAAGTATTGCTAGTAAAATACGTTTCGTTATGATGGTTGGAAAAAATCGACATCAAAAAGACTTATATACCGAAATTTATACCGAATTATTGCCGTTGTTCTGATATATTACATAATACATTCAATATCTAGACATAAAATTACGTCAACCAGGGAATCTAATCAAATGTTAGTTTTTTATTAGCAGACTTCGTCGGATTAGCCACCGGAAATGAAACAGTGCCCTGGTACCGCTTGCGAGTAAATCTTTTATCCGTTTTATCAATTTTAATATCTCCATTAAAATTTTCTTATGTTTCACATTTTAGGCAAATTTCATCTTTTACAAATCATGTTATCAGTTTCACTATTTCCAACCTTGACACAGGTATTGCTTTAGCAATATATTCAACACCGCCTTCTGTGTTGTTAATATTCATCATGTCAGTCAATGAAAAGTGGTCGTCAGGTTCCTTCACATTTGTGCGTACAAGTACAAATATGCAACTGTAGATAAATAAATTGTACAATAATAAAAGTTGTACCGATATCATTATTTGTTGAGGAATGAACTCCATATTGTGGAATGTTTATTATCAGAATTAATCAAAACTTCAGTGTCTAGTAAGCAAAGTGACTATATTGGTGAGAGAAATGCTTAATATACCTAATATGATATATTAACATGCTCAGTTGATTTTATTTTCAGGCTAACCATCAATCATAGAGAAAGAGACGTAAAAACTTTGTAATTATCGATATTTTCATTTTTACTCCATTGAATTTAGTTTACCTGACAAGGCCATTAGTCTCATCCGGTGCCTGTATTGCCAGTTTTGTTATGCCGCACGCGCTGTTGATTAGGTTATCTTCAAAACTTTCGGGCGGGAAAACCTTTGCAGGAGCTATAATACGAGAAAGTGTTTACTGAAATGAATTTTGACAAATATGCTTACGATATCCATGATTTTTGCGTTATCAACTTATGCGTCACACTTTCGCTTCAAACAGGCCTCTGCAAAGGTGTCTAATAATCAATGAAATTTGAAAATTTATACGATTTCACTGCGAAACAAATTACGCTTCTTTACATATCTTGTTGGATAGAGTTGTTAAGTAGATTGGTGATTGCAAAATTGATTGACAAATATTTACTTCTCAATATACCTGTAGGTTTTCCTAGACAAGTGCCAATAACAGATAATTCATGACCAAGTCCAGCACAATTGAATATTTTGATCGAAGCGTAATAGTTACGATTTGGTTCTGGTTGAAATGATAACGAAGAGGATGACGTCACATTTATTAGTTTTATGTCTGTCTTCAAGTTTGAATCTCGTGATGAGGCCAGGGTCGAAGCTAAATTCAGTTCCTATATTTCATCAGAAAGAAAATTCCATCAGAAATAATCAAGTTTTTCTTTTTTACTAAAAATTTCTTGAGCATTGGTGCCAAATAAGTTATTGAAGATAACGTAAGGTATACTCCAGATAATTGGAATATGAATTGGATATAAAATATTAATTATCAATATCTGCAATTTAGATCAACCGACCAAAACAGATATACGATCCTAGGTGATGGAGTGCCGTATAAACAGTCAAACTTCATGGCACACAGTGTCTACTTGATGATGCACGTATGGTTTCTAACACATAGTGACATAACGTCAGTCAAAGTTAGTAAAAAACATGTGTCCCATATAATTTTTGTCAACAATGCAAATATGGACATACCACGGTATATGTGTTCCCAGTTTCAGTATTGTTTGGAAATGACCAAGCAATGACACAAGTTTGATTCTTCTCGATCTGTGTGATGAACGACGATTCAGCAGATAATGTTGCTCCCCCTGTTTTTGCTGTTTGGGTGGTTGCATACTTAACTGGGCAATTATCTTTTGTTGCACATGCAGTTATCTGACAAAAATAATTCATATGATCATTTCAATATCGCAACGTATAGGTGGGACAGAATACACAGAAAGCTTTGAATGTGAGGGTGATTCTGAAAGGTGGGTATTTTTGGCACAAATAGTCGCATAAATTAGGTGCGGAAACATGCAGGTGTGAATAATATGATATTAAACCATTATTGCTTACTTTGATTGTATAGGTTGTGACAGGCAACAGACTGGTTATCGTGATTGCTTGTTTCTCAGATGTTGGTGAATCCAGATCCACCCATCTTGTTGATCCACCTGCGGTCGGACTTACTTCTACTCTGTTAACAGATATGTGTTGACAGTGACATTAATGCTAGTAACAACAGATATGAATATGAATAATTGTGAACCAGCATGGTAGAATTACCAGTTGGTGTTTACCAATCCAGCTCAAATTCGGCCCGTTAGGTGTTTCAATCTGGTCACGCGCAGCCCCGAGTTCAATTTAGTGCCTACATCCTTTTGTTAATGTTCCTAAAATGTTATCTTAACAAAGTTAGATTAACCGCATTGTGCCAAAAAAAGTTGATGTTTCAAAATAATACAATATTCTCCGCCACAACAAAAATCCTTTACGTCACACTTACATGACCCGCCAGTCTAGGTGAGCAAACTTTTATGTCCCTGCTCCAAAAACCTTGCCCAACCCTGCTCTAGAGGCATGATCGGAGTGAAAGATGACGCATAAACAACATCTTGTAATTTATTTCTAAATATCCACAAAGATAAACTGACTTGTGTGGGAATCCAACAGCATTTATATGTGGTTGCCATGAGATGATCAAGTTAGTATTGCAAGTGTTATTTGATGCTTGATTGATAGTGGGATTTCCAGCCACTGGAAAAGTAAATACCAGAAGATTAACTGACAGACATTAATCAGAGATTGGTATTTATAATCACCTTCATATGATTCAGTTGTAGTTTTCCAGGTATGACCAATTCGATAACGACAACTATAGGATCCCGCATCTGCAATATTTGCGTTATGAAGATTCAATGTTGCTGATCCATTTTGTATCGTTTGATAAACTCTACTTGTAGTTGCGGTTGATACTTTGCCAGATGCTTTGTACCATTCAACTTGTGTTGCAGTGCTGCAGTCTGTTGCATAACACTTTCTCTGGTTTACGTTGATTGTTTGTATCCTAACGAACGGGCCTGGAAACACTGAAGCAGAATTTGTGAAATTTGAAGCCATTAATAACATAAATTGGTTTAGTATACGAAAAACTAGGTTGATTACTTTGGTTTATGCAAGCAGAAACACTGGACTTTGAAAGTACCTTAAATATATTTTTATCAAATTAAAGCATTTTTTATTTAGTACTGTTAGTGCAACTCTGTTTGTAACACAATTTAAATAAGTAATATTGTAAGTAATATTGTAGTGTTCTGGGTTCTATAGTTTTTTCACAGTTCAAGCTCCGTTCAGGATATCGTATGATTTTTGTGGAATTGTTGGTATAATATTACGGTTTGACTTTCGTGTACATATGTTTGAGTTTTGCTCTATTGTTTCTTTAGATAAAACCTATGCGACTTGATACGTCCCTTTACCTTCAATTGAGCAAACCTTGCATATTCAGACCACTGGTACAAATTAATGACAAAGCTAGAAAATCCATGAAAATATGAACATGAGGACGAGTCGCACAATTCCGTTCTAAAACCATAGCCATCTAATTAATGTCATCGAATGAAAAATATTAATGATACATTTTTTCCTAATTAAAAAACAACAACTGAATATTACCTTTCTGGCAAATGTAGTAGGAGTTATCATCACAAGATGTATCAACCCACTCATACGTTTCTTTACCGACTGTCAGACAATTTTCACCAGGCCCACCATTTGGTTGATTATATTTCCTGATAAATTGAGAAGCCGTATTAAAAAATTGTAAAATTTATGCGCTTCCTAAGCAATTGTTATTGACAAGGTGTTGCGCAGATATGGCTACCCATTATCTTTAAGCAGGAGAAGTACTTATATATTAAATATAAAGTTAAAATCAATTGCAGCTTTGCCTAATTTATCCAATTGCCCGTAATTGTAATCTAGTAATGTTTGTCATCATTTCACATCCGACAAAATGAATTAAACTACGGTAGTGAGGTAATATCATCATTGAAGTCATGCCGTGGTAGTTCTCTTCACTATAATATTGAGATTACTGAATACTGCATGGTATACGTGTTTAAAAAACTATTTCTCGCAGCACATATTTTAAGACATTCCTAAATGAAGTTGATAAACAAACCAGTATTGATATCCCACTTCTTCTCTCATTATTAATTGGTCGAGTTATTGACGAAAATTTCGAAGTTAAGCAGATTTACGGTACCCGCCGACCAGCACAAATTTCACTTTCCAATTTTAAAATCCTATTCACTCGTGTGCGCATGTTTGACAGAAATTAGGCGACCTCGGAAAATCTTCACGCGACACAGAGTTTGGGAACCACTGATC